CTGCTTATGCAGGGGGTCGGACTCAATGATCTATTGAGGTCCCTTCCGACCCTAGCATCTATGAATCTATGACTGTGCCCCCCTGGAGGTGGCAATTGCTGGGTGCCACCAGGCATGTGAGGTGGCTACAAAGCTCCAATCTCCCACATACAACCCATGACCTGCCCCTACCACAAGGCAGAATCCAGACCTACCCTGCAGGGCTATGGCACCCCCTGCCTGTCAGCCAGGGGTGTCTGGATAGTCTAGAGTTGAGGTGGGGGGAAATCTACTGAGTTGACCAGGCATCCAGAGGGCCCCTCCTCACCCCAACCAGGCTCCTTTTCCCGGACTGCAGCTTCCAAGATTAAGCATAACCAGAAAGCTAGAGGAGAGGGGGGGCAGTTCTGTCCCCCTTATTTGCCCCCTGCCCCTCCAGCATCTACTCTTTGTCACTGTAATGGAGCTGGACGATGATGGGGCGAGACTTTACACTGATGCGATTCTGGGCAGGTCCATCTGCACAAGCAGCCAATCAGAGTGAGCACCAGGACAAAACATCCAACACTTTCCCCGGCAGGATCAGCCCCATCTGACCAGCTCTCAACCTGGTGGAGACTCCAGGACCTGAGACTGACCCCCACCTGGACGTCTGACCTGTGTTCCCAGCTGCTTTCCCAGCCCCATACGAGGAGATGCTGTGGGATCTTGGACCCTTCAGCCTAAAGAAAAGAAGACTGAGAGGGGACCTCATTGCATCTTACCGGTATATCAGAGGCGTACATCAGGGGCTCGGTGAACAACTGTTCATCACCAGGGTGCCCTAGGGGAAAACTAGAAACAACGGCCACAAACTCCTGGAAGATAGTTTCAGGCTGAACATTAAGAAAACCTTCACAACTAGGGTGTTTAGACTATGGAACAAGCTCCCCTCCGAGATGGTGCAATCATCTACCCTAGAGGTCTTCAAGAGAAGATTGGGCAGTCAACTGGCTGAGGTCACCTGACCCCAGATGTCTTTCCTGCTTGTGCAGGGGGCTGGACCTGATGATCCTTTGGGGTCCTTCCAGCTCTATGATTCTATCCCTGTCTCCTGCGGATGCAGAGAACAATCAATCACCTGCCTCTTTATGTATGTGAAGACCTTCTCCCCCTCTACCTATGCCTGGAACCAATCCCATCCACCCTACCCTTCCCCAGCTATGTCCATAATCCAGCCAGGAAGAAAATGTTGGGGCATTTGTCTCCTTCCCTGCCCAAAAGATAATCACGTGGGTGAATCGGACACTAAAGACCCCAAACAAGGGCTGTGGGATATCACAGCCAATCCTTCCCTTGCTTCTGGAGCATGGAGAGGAGGGGAAAAGTGCCTCGAGCCAGCAGCTGGGCAGCTCCACGTACAGCACAGCAGGATGAATCCTGCTTCCCACCCCCACAAAACCATGTCCCAACTCTTGAGGAATCTAGCTAGACCATTGGCTTCCACTGCAGCTGGTGACGAGCTTCACCAAGGACTTCCCTGCATTGGTTTGAAACTAGCTTCATTTGGAAACTGCAGCTCCCCTCCTCCAGCTGCAAGCAAAGGGAAGCCCTGGCCCTGTTCAGACCCGTCACCTCCAGTTCAGGTGCCGAGGTCGGGGAAGGGGCGGAGAAGCCAACAGTTCTGCTCAAAATAGCTCTCCCTTGAAACCGAGGGATTAGGAAGCAATGAAGAGTTTTCCCCTCCCACCCCTTTGGCACCTCCCATCTGCCCCAGATGCCAGTGAGGGGAACACGGAGCTAAAATTAACTTGGGTCAAGTTTCTCAGCTCTCACCCACCCTGCACACCTCGGTGCAGCTCAGCCAGGCTATTTAAACAGCTCCTCCTGGTCCCTGTAGTTACCCCTCACCTGCCACAGCCTCTTGTCAGCCCAGAGTTTGTCCCCTACCGCAACTGCTTGCTTTGGGCAATAAAAGCCAGGCTGGGTAAAAGTCCCCGTTAGCACCTGACAGAGAAAAGAGATGAGTTTTGCTTGCTATCGTGGAGCTTCGGAGCGCGGTGGGCAGACTTGAGAGGGTGCTTTGGGGATTGAGTGCTAGGAGATCAGGTCAAGCGACCTGATGTTTCAACCTGAGAAAGCCCCAAAATGATCCTCGCTAGAGGAAAGTTGCATCCTGGAGCACTGAGTTCATAGGAACTATGAAGGCGGGCTAGAAAGGACCTCCAGAGGTCATAGATAGTCCAGCCGCCTGCCTGAGGTAGGATCAGCCTTATCCGAACCACCCCAGACCATCCATGTTCTGAACTATAAAGTCTTTGTAAAGCTCCCGTCACAATGGCTGATATGTTTCTTCCCAAGGGTGCATTATGTGCCAGAAATATGGTAAGAGCAGTTTCTGCTGGCTGCCATAGCTGCTCTTATATAGGTTGTATCCACCTTCCACTCAAAAAACTAACTGCTGGAAGCTGCAGTGCATGTTGTGTGCCAGAAATACGGTAAGAGAAGTTTCTGCTGGCAGGCAAAGAGGAAAGCCTAATTAGCTCGGCTGTCTGTTGCCGCTCAGTTACCAGTGACAAGGGAAGATCCTATTCCTCGGTCTGCCTTTCAGATGCAAGGGGCATATTTTATTCCAGGCGGGAACATAGGGATGCCTGCCAGCTCTCTAGGAAAGGAGCATGCTGCTCCGGAAGCCGAGGGTGTCGGCATGAGAATCCCATAGACTCCAAAGTGGGGAATGCGTCACTGCCTCAGCCAATGCTGCCTCAGTTTCCCCACCTGTGAAATGAAGACAAGAGCAGCCATTTTTCCATGCCAGCAGGGGGGCGGAACAGCTGCTGGACCAGGAGAGCTGATGAGAGGGATAGGATGGAGGGCGGACTACCAAATAAGCCAGGGGGTGGCCTAAGTGAATGAGGAACTTAATTCATCCAGTCCCAGGATGCTAGAACTACGGGACAGGTTTAAAAACGAGCTAGAGACAGGACTTCTCCACAGGGCGCGTCATTAATGCGTGGAACTTGTTACCTAAAAGGGTCGTCAAGGCTGAGAGCACCCAACAGAATTAGAGAGAAGCCAAGGGAAAGGTATCTCCAGGCCAACCACACCTGGCTGAGGCAGGATCAGGTCCATGTGAACCATCCCCTAAGCCAATTCCCTCCTGACCCCCAGCATGGTGTCAGTCTAATGCGGAGCAGAGGGAACGGACTGTCAAGCCAAGGTTTGAGCTCCAGCACGACCCTCCCTGGGCTAGGCTGCAGTCAACACTGCTGGGGGGGGATGGAAGAAAAGCCTCCAATACTCCCCTGTGTGCCAAGGCCCCAGGGACCCCTGCAAGCCAAGCGTCCAGGACCCTGCCCCCTCCCCCCCGCGCCCAGCGCCTGCAGGCCCCTATGTGATGAGTGCCTGGGGACCCCCACATGCCGAGTGCTGGTTTCACATGGAGACCGGACATGTTCATGGATTGATGCCTCCATTCCTAGCCATAAAGCAGTACAGGCTATCTCCTCCGGTACCTTTAACCTCCAGGAAAGACCTGACAGGGTAAAGACCACTCAAGATCTAGCTTATACCTACATTCCCCACTCTCTGGCACTGTCAGAGACTAGGCACTGGGTGAGATGAGATCAGTGCCAGCCCAGCTGCAAGTATTGGTCTTGAAGTGCGAAGCGAAGGGCGCCAAGCAATCGGAGAGAAGTGAGGCGGCTAGAGACCCCCACATCTAGTCCAACCCCCCTGCCCGAGGTGGGATCAGCCCTGCCCAAAGCATCCTGGACACATCCAGCATTGAACTACTTCGTAAAACAGCCATCAACCCTGAGCCCACACCAGACACTGCACCTGAACCGTCCGCAGGGAAAGCCAGTGACCGACCCTAAAGAGATGTCAACCTGAAACTTTTCTTCCACTGCAAATGAACATAAAAGGATTAAGTCAAAGAATTAAATCACACTGGTTTTTAGAGGCGTGGAAGTATGATGTTTGCATAAAATAAGGCATGGGTTTGTACACTGCTGGCATATCCACTGTCCCGGGCTGTGAAGGAAGGGATGCAGTTCATAACAAGAGCTCAAATAAAGTGTTTTAGGGAGAGGGGAACACCTGGATCAACTCCGAAGGTTGTTGCCTCAAGACAGACTCCGAAGGTCTTGTGCCTCAAGACAGGAAATGGGAATGTACAGCACCCAGCGTGATGGAAGTACCCCTAAATCAGTGGGGCCTCTTATGGGGCTGGCTATCAAGAAGCTCCAGTGGAGGGTAGATTACACAACCACAAAGTGTGTGGGGGGGGGGGGATG